TTTTATTTATCTTACGCGCAGATTCGGTTTCATTTAGTTCCTATTGGAATTTCCCTTGCTCATTAAAGAAACTGCACCCAGCCAGCCTGAACCTGAAGTGGAATTTGTTTTCGACTCCATTAAAAGTTGATTTAAATATTTTTCTAAACGCAACGTATTTTTCTTGTTAGTCCCTCTCATATATCTTTTTCTTCCTCCCCTTTGCAATTTATTTTTATACCTACTTTAATTTCTTTTTCTTGGGCTTTCTTCATTTGTTTCGCGCTTTTTACAGTTTTTGAGTTCTGCGCGTTGCGCTCGAAGTGCTGATGATTATTATTCTCTTTAATTAAATTAGCCATTATTATAATGGATCTGCAAGAAGTAATAAGCATGTGGGTAGCTAATAATGTGGAATACCAGAAGTGAACTAAGGGAATGGGAGATTCTGACGAGTTGCAACGGCTTTAGGAATTAATCTGATGGCACTATTGTTCTAATATTATATATATACTTAGAGGAAAAGGTATGCACTCTAATAAACTAATTACTTGCCTCAGAGTACGGATATTTTAAGAACTCGAAGATTAAAATTAACTTCGAATTAAACAAAGCTGAGTAACACTTTGAACCCTTTTTCTTGGAGCTCCCTAGTTGGCCGTGTATGTCATGGTCATGCTTCGAGACTTTTGACAATAGTCAACTCTGCTTCTGTAACTTACTTTTTAGTGGCCGGCTTTGTTTTTTATTTTGTTGCGGGTTTTGGCGCTTCCTTCGCTCTCTTTCCTCCGAGGAGACAGACAACAACACGAATGGAAAATTGTAAAATGTCGCCGTCGGAAAAGAGGGAAGAGAAATGGGATAGTAGCGAGTGTAATGTCGATACGAATTCGGCGGGGTAAACAAGTTTACGGCCAGCGCCAGACGCAAACAAAAACAGCAGCAGAAAACCAGGATTACACCGAAAAAATGTAATGTTCTGGTTACATAAAAATACTCCAAAGAGTTTTACTTAAGCTTGTGATTAAACAATTTTATAGAGACTGCAAGGCAACAAGATCCAATCATCATTTATCATTATTATTATTTTTTAAACCACATTTCTTATGCATCATAGTTTCAATATCCGGCTTAATTTTTATTTTTCCGATTTTTATTTAAAACTTGAGGGACAATCGATTTATACAAATCTAAAAATAATGATTATTCTATTAGTTTTATTTTCTGCTAGACAAACAACTCTTACATTTTGATATTTATTATCTGGAAACTTGTTTGATCTCAAATTTCCTCCAATTTAAGACCGATGGCTGTAAAAATGGTCGGGAAATATGCAAAGTCGACCCCGGCAAACACTTTAAGACTAATTCTAAGCTTCAAGCCGAGTGTTTCTTCTTAGATTTTTTGCTCTCTTCGGTAGTTGTAAAAACTCTTAAGCACTAAACAGCAGATACAAATTTAATTAACACCTCTTTTACCTGTTAACGTTGTTTTCTGGTAAAATTCTCCATCGTATATGGAGCATACACATTGGAACAATATTAAAATTAATTTCTTAAAATTAGTTTTGTTGATTGATGGCAATTCTTCGAGTGCATCGCAAAATAAGCTGCGCCAACAAGATGACGCCAAGAAATGCAGATGAAGCTGACAGCAGCCAAACTACGACGATGTCGGTGCAATGTTAAATGCATATGGGTCGCTGCTCCATTTCCACATGGCCGCCACTGCGTCCCAGCATCCCGATCCGATCCCGAACCCGGACCGCAGACCCAAAACCATCCTCGTCAATTGAGGAACATGCATGAAAGCAGCAACAGCAGGACGACGGCGATCTTTGGCTGCATAATTGCCAGTCTAAATCAATGGGGCGCAAGTGGTTGCCGCTGAGCATGTTGCTGTTGTTGGCGTTGCACCCATACATGACTCGGTCGGACTTCATTGTCAACGCCGTTTGCCATTGCCGTTGCCGTCTCCATCGGCATCTCCGCAACCGCAGCCACATCCACATGCAACTCCATCTCCATCTCCATCGCCATCGCCATCTCCATGTCCCATGTCCCAAGTCTTGTGTCCATGTCCGTCGCGGTCGTCGTCAATATTTGCCATGATCTTATCGTCAAGCGGAGTCATGTCGCTGCCTTGCCCACGATTGCCCCCTTGGAACCCCCTCCGCCACACCCCTGAGCAACAGCCGCAGTCACTTGGGTGCAATTATTTTCTTAGATACACTTACCAGGGACCCTCGCCTTCATTGGAACAGGGGGTTTGAAGGGTAAACATTAAATAAAAGGAACCGTTTTATATTTAAAGATTTTCTAAGTGATGAAATTCAGAAATAGGTTTGGTGGTCTTGGTCTTGGGAGTTGGCATACTTTTTTGAATATCCACTGATGGGCAGGGTATACAGACTCTTTAATACAAACAGATTTCTTAAGAGATTACGATCCCCCTTGTCCCCTGGCTCGGCTGCACTGCATCTTTGGTGCTGAGTTATGGCAAAAGACCTTGGACTTAAGCACTAGCGACGTCGATACTGGAAGAACCCGAACGGGGCCATCTTGCACCCGCACTCGCAACCAAGATGACTCCGCCACCACCTGCCCCCGCACCGACTGCGCCAATAGTGCAATTTGTCATTGCACCGTCAGCGACGACGCGTGCGCCAGCATGGAGACTCGAGTCACTGAGCTGCCGACTGCTCCTCAGCCACTCTGCTTCCACGCACTGGGAGAAAAGTCTGTCTCAAATCAGAATATATGTGGGTTCGCACAGATCGCTTTCAATAGCAAACCTCTTCGATTTTGGTAGAGACCCTAGGACGAACCCAAGATAAGTCGTATAGAATGTTGAAACCTTAAACATATCAAAGTTCTATAGAGATATTTTTGATACCCCAAATAATATCTAAAGCAAGATTGTCAAGTCTATGTTTTTGAACGTAGTAAAAATCTTAACCTTTTCTAAATCTGTCATAAATGTCATTGATGAAATTTGTTTAACTACCTTTTCTTAGCTGAGTTGTTGGAGATGAAGGTTTATTAAAATATTTTTTGTTTTTGGAAGACAATCTTTGTTTCGCCGAGTGCACGCCTGAGCTCCCTGTCTGCCCCAGAGCCTCGTCATCTATCGCTGGCTGCCATCTGCTTACAGTTAAGCGACTGTCGGTCGCCGAGCCTCGAGGAGCAGGCATCTCCTGCTGCGTCTCGGTTTCGGTGGTGCTGCTCCGCCAGTTGGTGGTGCCGCGGATGGGCTGGGGATGGCGCTCCTTCGCGACGACTTCTTTATGGCTCTTGATTTTTATGATTTTGCTGTTTAATGGTTCATTTGTGGGCCTCCACTGCGAGTGCGAGTATGTGTCTGGCTTCCAGTTTTCTTATCGCCGCGTCAATATCTTTCCTAGCTCCTCCAATGTGTGTCTTATTTTATTTTATATTTTCTGTAGCTTGCCATCGTCGCCAGTTTGGGGGCATGTCTGTCGGCCCAATCTCCCTCCTTGGAGTGTGGCTTTTTCAATTTATTTATCTATTTGCGGGTTGCCATTTTTCGGGGCCAACTTGTTAACCCAAGATGATGGCCAACAAGTCAGTTGGTTGCAAACTTTTGCTGCATACTTTGAGGATGCGCGAAGGGAGGCAGAAAACAAGAACTGGTAGTTGAGGCCAACAATTTAATGGTATCTCCCCTAAATACCGAAACCCAATGCCATGATTATGCTAATGAGCCGTTGTTGACACGCTCGCTGATCTCCGGCTCTGGGATCTACAGATCTCCATCATCATTAGCCCACCTTTCGGTTCAGCATTTACCAACTCAGCGGCAAATCTCCAAGAGGCGACTTCCTACAGACTCGTTTCGATCATCGACGTCGTTTGCCTTGGCCATTTGTTTAACTGCCGCTGTGACACCTCCTCTGCGTTGGAAATGAGGATGGGTATGGTAGGGGCATGGGTATGGATGGGTATGGGACTGGAGGACGTAGTTGGCCATGGCAATGGCGATGGCAATGGGTAATGGATAATGGCGCCGCCTCCATTCAAAAATCACTTTATGGCTGCTGCGAATGCAGCTGAGGTTGCGTTGTCCATAATTGGACGCAGTGCCAATCATTTTAACAGCTACACAAACACGCAAACCGCGAAACCGGCTGGGATTGCTCCTCTTCGTTTTCCCCCACTCGATTCACTTCTTCCTTTAACCATGCTGATAATGCAAATATGTGCGATAGCTTCGGTATCGACTGTTGTGTGCCCCGTATTTCGGTATTTATTTCATTTGACTCCTGGGAAACAATCAATCCTAACTATGAAAAATTATAATTTCTTAGCGTAAGCTGTAGCAGCAATAGGTACAACGAATTTTCGATCGGACAGGAATACAGCAACATTTCTTCCAGCACCAGTACCGAAATACTCCTGGACTCCGCCAGTACAGGGTATAATGAGAGGTAGTATGTAGAATGAGACAACTGCTGGCAGCCACTTCAAAGCGGTCTGCAGTGCCAGGACCAGGAGGACCAGGAGGCCGCCGCCTGTCCAGTTCGGAGCCTCCTCAGTCTCCTTCCTCCGCCGGATTCTGGTTTGGTCTCAATGACAATTGGCGCCATAGCCGCGGGGTGCGTTTGGGGCTTGGTGTCTGGCTCTCGAGGATCGCTCCTCGGGTAGTTGGGTTGTTTGTTTATAATTAGCCCACTCGCTAGCCTCCGACTGCAATTCAAATTGATGATGGCTACTGGTTTTGCTACCTCTGCTTATTTTGCTCGATCAGTTTTCTAGCAACCTTAGAGCTTCCACAGGGAAAAACCATCTCCAAAACTTGATCATTAGATATTTCAAGTATATTTTTGTTGTCTATGGACTCTGATATTACTTTATGACCTTATACGTTTTTTCCCTATGTAGTAGTAGCATTTGATTGGCGATTCTTTTGAATTTTCATAACTTTAGATTTTTCCAAGTGTAGCTCTTTTATGATCGATCAATTTTCTAACGATTCTACCTTTTTCTTCAACCTCTTTGCAGGCGGAAATGCTCATGGATGACGGTCTCCTGGGCTCGGGGCATGTTCTTGGATTGGCCGGCCATCCACATGGCCTGGTAGGCGCCTTGGCCCCGCCCCCGCCACCACCGATGAAGCAGCCGCAGATGGACATTCCCAGTGGCAAGAAGCAGCTGCAGCAGCTCAAGGGGGCGTCGTCGGCCGCCTCCACGTTTGAGTACCACTATCAGTTCATGTGCGCACACCTGGAAAGGGAGCGAGAGCACCTGCCGCACACGCATCCCCTGAGCCACCAGCATCGGGCCGTTCTGGTGGCCCACCCACACGGGCCGCATCACCACCCACCACCCACGCTGAACTCCGCGTCGGCCTTCCGACCTTGGGGACCCACCAACTCCAAGGCCTTCCTGCACGCATATAACGCCACGCTGTCTTCGCTACCCTATGCCTGCCAGGAACCACCAGAACTCCAGAATCCGGAGCGGGTCGTGCGGAGTACGGACAAGAGATATGCGGAGAGGACCTACCAACCCAACGTGGCCTTGGCCCCGCGCAAGAGTATTCTGTCCAAGGAGCGGGACAAGGACAGGGAGCGGCTGGAAAGGGAGGTGATGGTGCGTCAGAGATTGAGGGAGAAGGAGACGGATCACCAGGTGGTGCACATCAAGCAGGAGCGATCGCAGACACCCCCGCCACCCACGACATCGCCACCCGAGGTTCTGGCTGCTCCTCTGGACGTCGTGGAACCACCACACACCTCCTCGAGTGGCAGCAACTCCCCGCTACCCGCCCACCTGCCCGCAGCACCAGCCACTGGACCACCCAATGCTGCCGGAGCACCGCCAACACCCACTAATCTCCGAAACATGCGCAGTCCGGAGGAGTTTTCAGCGGGAGGCAGCAATGAAATTACCTCCTCCACGTCGCCACACCATCAGCAGTCGTCGCACCACCAGGTGGTGCAGCAGCCGGCAGGAGCTCAAGCTCCGTCGCAGCACATCATAGCCACCGTTAATCAGCATGCCAAACTTTTGCCCAGCTCCAGTTCCCTGCCAAACGGCAATGGAAGTTCATCGCTGGCAGCCACAAACAACGAACCGAGTCGGATCAGGATCAACAAGAACCTGATGAGCCACCAGCCGGTGGTTGGGGTGAGCGGCATTGCCCCACATCACAACCCGCACCACCCAACGCACATGCATCACTTCAGCCATGGGTACTACAAAAGCCAGGCCTCCTCACCCACTCAGTCCTCCAGTGCTGGCCTGAACTTGAGTACCCACTCATCGAATGTGGTCAGTTCGCCCCATCATCCCAACCAACAGAAGTCCCAGCATAGTTCGGGAGGATCCGGGATCCATAGCCTTAAAAATGGTAAGACCCATTTGGGCAGCGAATTCGAGTTGTCCACGGACACTGATGATACGGACAGTCTGAACGGAGAGCCCGACTCGAGTGCCATGCTACCACCTTGGGAGCAGGCTGTGGAATCCCTGAGAGAAACTCGACCCAGGGACCGGGAGAGAGTTCTCAGCCTACTCCAGAGATTACTGCAGGAGAACCATCAATACCGATATAATAACATCCAACTGAGTGAACTGCTCCACAAGCAGGACGTCCATATAGCCGACCTTACGGAGCAACTTCAGAGATATCGCAGGCAATACGAGGAGCAGGTCTGCAAAGTGGATCTTCGAAAGATGCCATTCAAGCCGCAAACCCGGCTGGAGGAACCGGTGGAAGAGGGTCGGGGAGATCCCGAGGAGGACGAGGACCTGGAGGAAGAGGAAATGGAGGACAGGGCTAATAATAATAATCAACAGGAGCCATCTCCCCTGATAAAGCCCCCAACAAATGGCCTGCGACGGAGTGCCACGCCCCTAAACTGTTGTGTGAGTGAAGGGGATTTTGAAAAGCTAGAAGAGCCAGAAAGCAAAAGAATAAAGCTGCAGCCCGAAGAAAAACCAGAGGATCGGCAGGTGGAAGAAGAGGAAAGTCCCTCTAATATTTCGGAGCCAGGCGATCTGGAAAAAAACCAAGAAATTGGCGAGAAAACCCCCCCAAACAACAATCTTAAAAGTCCCCAACCCAGTCAAACATCCAGCGATGAGGACATGGACGAAGATGAAGACGAAGACGAGGAGGATGAGGAGGAAGACGAAGAGGTTCAGATAGAAGCCCCCCACAGTAGTGCTTTGGCCACGCCCCCCACGGCCACAACGCCCCTTTCGCCGGACTCGGCGGCAACTGCCGGACAGTTGTTCGATAGTAGCAACAGCAGCGATGAGTCCTCGATGAAAAAGGCCCAGATGTCCGCCTGCCATGCACTGGAAAAAATCAGCAGTCATGTGGGCAGTGAGGACAACCATCAGACGCTCGAAGAGGAAAGTCAGGAGGAGGAGGCGGAGGCGGATGAGAATCCAGAGGAAGATGAATCCGATGACGATGAGATGCCCCTGCAGCAGCGACAGCAGCAGCAGCGCCAGCGGGTGGGCCCTCAGACCGTGCTCAGTGGATCAGTCCCCGTGGGACACCACCAAGCACCCCCACATGCCCCCATGGCAACCAAGGCCAGCAAGAAGCAAACGCCACCAGCACCACCCACTGCAGCCCCATCCACCACAACATCAGCAACAACGAACTGCGAGTTACAAATCAAAAAGGAAATAACCTAGAGTTAAAATCCCATAGATCCTCTCTCAGAAGAGCTCTTTCACACACACGTCAAACAGTTTAAACTTAGTTAAGATCCGTTTTTCTTTTGGAGAAGAAGGTGCAGACAAAATTCAAGCACAAAGCCTAATCGCACACATTGTCTATTCGCAAACAGGAATAAATGATATCTAAGCTAAGAAAATACGGCTTTTGAATTGCTACATTTTTAATTAAAAACATTTTGAACGTTTAAGTACATAAAATCAAAGTTAAAAATACCTTCAGAAAATATTTCAATTCATTTAAAATAACTCGAGATTTCAGAGATTCACATAATTTATTGGGAGTTTATAAGCTACTTGCAATACTTTTGTAGCTAATAAACTGTGAAATCGATATCGTATTTAAAATTTCTGAACTCGATATGTAAACCCAAAAGCAATTTTTCTTACTTTCTTTGCATAACGTTTCCCCTTAACGAAACCTATTCAAAATTTTGAAGCATATTTTAAAACGATTTTACACAGCTTGAATTGATCTCACTTTAAAAAAGAAAAGGACAAAAACAAATTTATTTAGGCATCCCTATTTCGAAAACCTTTCAACGTTGCTTGCAGAAATTATAAATGAAACCAAAGCTTTAAAGAAAAATTAATTTGTGTATATTATTCAACGACCAATTTGTGCGTGTGTTTTTACCACTTACCGCTAAAACTAATTAAGTTATTATTTTTACACTTGTAAGCTCTGCAAGACAATTTAAATCCAAAATAATATTCAAAGCGAGGCTTCGAAAACAAAATTTAGGAAAGGTTTTTCTTTGGTCAGACAGGCAGCTGGTTTTTATTAAGGAAGGAAATATATTATATATCGCCCTCTGGAAACCGATGTAATTACATTTAGTTGTACCTTAATTTTAGGTTGAACAGACAAATTGTTAGAGCAAAGAGAGAACACACAAAATGAACCCACCACAGATAACACAAAATAAATGCTAAACACTTCTAACGTAATTCTAATTAAAGAGGAAAAATATGTTTATGAATAAGATGTTGCCGCGTTAAATTTATACAATACAAATATGAGTAATATTCTACGATATATGATAGAAGATGGCAGCAAGTGTGGGAATATTAATTAACATTAAGCCTCCACGAGAAGCATAAACATATACATAACATACATAAAGATTAATATTTATTGTAGCTGCTAGTTCTAAATCGAGCAATTCTCTTAACTGTATAATTATAGACTTCTGTTCTTCTTCACCTTGTAAGCTTTGCTCTGTAGGCATTTAGTTTCGTAGATTGTAACCATACCACAACATTTGCTAACTAGTTCTTAAGGCTTCTGTGTGGCGTAGTTCTTTGTCTATTGTAAATGGCATCGAATGGTCTTCATTTTTTGTATATATAATTTTTTCTTCGACGAGATTAGGGTACTACGGATTTTAGTTGCCAACACTTTGTGAGAAACATATATGCTAGATATCTTCTGGATGATAACCAACTGGAAATAAACCCAAGCCAAGAGCCAAGCGAAAGAGCGCAGAGATTTCTAAAATCTATAAACTTTTGTTATTAAAACATATTTCATAAATTATTTATGCCTGTGTGTGTTTGTACTTTCTAAAAGAAAACATTTCGTTCTGTATTTAAGAAACCATTTTCTAAGCTACAACTGAAAAAAAGGAAACAAAACTTTTAAACAAATTCAAACCAAAATTTGTCTATCTTAAGCTAAAATTATGTAAAATTGTATAAATTTAAAAAGGCGATAAACGAACCATTAAAATATTAAATAAAACATTTATAAACTATTTAAATGGACCTTAAGCATGAAAAATTCATTGTTATGCTTATTAAAGAAAGTTAAATAAAATATATGCGACAAAAATAAAGAAACAAATTACAATTGCTATGCAAAAATATAAAAAAATTTACTAATTATTGTAAATTAATTCTCTTAAATTTTTGTGTTTTATTTTCCAGACCAGAACCAGTACGATAATAAACGAATTACATTAAATAAATTATAAAACACATAAAGCAGAACAACAGTACCGATTGAATAGGGACGAAAAATGGTTAATCAAAAACATTAAAACGGTTTTCAGCAAATTTCGTGTACTTATGGCCAAATTTTACAAACGATTAAAATAGTTAAACATACAGAGACGAGAGAAACCGAAACTTTTTTGTATAATTTTTGCTAACAACCCAAAGAGATAAACAACAAAACAAACAATCATTTTTATATTTAATCAATTAAATACATTGACAAATTTTACATAACCCGAGTGTTTATATATGACATATTATATATTTAACTTTAAATACGAGACGGAACGATGCCCAAAATACGAGCATATTTGCCCCGCTTACTGAATGCGACTTCAAATTGTTAAAAGTTAAACGTGCAAAGGCTAAGGAACCAGAAGAACAAAAAATCACAAAATAATGGCATAAGTTATATATTAATTATTTAAGCATGCAGCAACAAATCCGCGTCTTGTCAAAATACAACATATACATAATTATATGTCTGACGATTCAGAATGCAGAAATAAAATGTACAAATTGTGGAGCAAATTAACAATAGAAAATGTAGTGAGAATTCGGGAGATAGAGGAGTATGAACGAAAACATCAAATGAAATGCACCACAAGCAAATAAAGTTTAATCAAATTAAACAGTTCATGAAAAAACAAATTTGACTTCAACGTTTCATATTTAAGTAGTGCAGAAACAAATAAATACAAAGGAAAACAAAAATAAATTATTACACATGTAATGAAAACAAAAACAACCAATAAAAAAGCGATAAATATTATGCAAAATATATATAAGTAATTTTTATTTACAAAGGAAAAGCTGCGGGTAATAAAAAAATAAGATTTGTATTATTTTGGATTTATAAAGTGATTCATTCCCCTATCAATTTAATTTTGATACTTTTCCTCTTTCCATACAAAGACAGCGACAAAAAAAAACGATAACTGCAACAACTGAGATAATACTAACCACATTTCAGCCAAAAAAATCCATGAAAAACCTAGCACACCCACCTCACCTCCGCCGAAGTTGGCCGTTGTTGTCTGTTTGGGTTTTCTTTTAGCCTGGGAATCTTGCTGTTTTCCTTCTGTGTGTTTTGTGTTATTTTTAATATTGCAAGTGCTGAATAAATATAATATGTATTACTGTTTACAACCTTGTTAATTTTTAGACTTAGGTGCAATGGGAAATGGGAGTCAAAAATATACCGAAGGATAAAAATACAATAGGCAACATGAATAACACTAAAAAAAGTACTATAATTTTTCTATTATCCCTTCTCGTCCTTCTCTGTTCCGTCATTTTTATAGAACTAAAAAATATTCAATGTTTTTGAATTGAGGCGCCATTTGCTCTTCCCCTTCATGAAATGTAAAGATGCAACGTTTCCTAGCAGAAATGTTAAGAATTTCTGTGTTAGATCTTAACATTTCTGTTAGATTTTGATACATCTTAACATTTCACTGGCAACGCTTGATTTTTTCAATTTCTGAAAAATTTTAAAATATGTCTTCTTTCTAGGAAATTCTCAATAAATGTGTAGATGTACATGTACATTGTACATAAGCATATACATACATACAAATTTACATATACATATACATATAAATGCATTGTATAAATACACCCTGGGTAAAAAAGTGGTTACATTTCCAACTAGTAGGTTATGTAAAATTACACTAGATGTCGCACAAAATGCTGCGTAGAAATTGTGCGTAAAATGAATAAATGCAGTAAAAAAGCAACTGTTTAGCAATAATCTACATTTCGACCCTCGCCCATAGTGACGTCATTAATTTATAACTATTTTTCTTATTCACTTTTACTGAAGACCAAATGACTTACCGACACATTACAGGTCGTTAAAGCAAGGTCGACAAGGTCGACTTAAAAATCTTTTATCCTTTTGCCCATTTTTCTCATCCCATTTTCTAGCAATATGTGTAGGCTCGGATATCTTCGCTAAGATGAATCTTTGGCATAATCAGGGACCGTAATTATTATGATTCTTAAAGTAAAATTTAAAAATAATTATTAATTATTCCACAAATACCCTTACCTACTCTAACGACTATTCACACTTCTTGAAAAAGCACCTACAATCAAAACAAGCTGACATCTACAACAATGTATCGCCTTGGTACAAACAAATGATACAGACCTCACCGCAATCCATCTGTCAGATACACCCAAACACCAATAACAAAACACAAATACTCATACACCGGATACGACTAGGACATACCAAACTGACTAATGCCCATTACATGGATAGAACACTTCCCAACACATGCCCATTCTGCCACCACTCCCCAATAGACATCCAACATATCATATACACTGCCCTTCCTTATCCCAACCCAGATCAGAATCCTTCCAATACCATCTCAAACCCAACCCCCGAACACATCATAAAAATCATCACATTTCTTGAAAAAGCCCAGATTAAGTTTAAAATTTAAATGTATATAAAAATGCTGTTAATTCCACAGCTCAAATGAGCTGAAGGCCTTAGCCTATAGCCTATAGTTTTAACTTTAAGCTAGCTTTATATAATAATAGTAATAAAACTATTAATAATTAACTAACATTTTTTTAAATAAAAATTATTTTATTATAATACTTATAAAAAAAATAGTTTATTATAAAATTTGAAAATAATACTTAATAGCTGGTAGCATTAAATACAACAAGAGACAACGCTATAGTCGATGGCCACGACTATTATATACCCGTTACTCAGCTTAAGCGAGCGCGAGAGCAAACCAACTTTGCTTTTTTCACTAACACACCTAGTCTAAAGCCCCACCTAGCGCCATCTGTCTTCTTCTTTTATAGCGCCACAGAGCCTACAGCGCCAACTACCCTAAAGCGCAACTAGCAGCTTGTTGGCGTATTAGTGAACACAGCTAGTTTGTAGTTTTTTATTAACTGGTCCGATTTCAATAATTTTTCGCATGTAGATGGGTATTGACAAGAAAAGCAAACTCTCATTTTTACAATATATTAAAATAAGGTGTTTTAGTGTTACAGTCGTTTGTAGGCGTTAGAGTGGGAGTGGCACCCTGCTGAAACAAACTTGCGCTGCGCAAAAAGCCCAAGAATCGGTATGCCAAGTCTCAACATTCTAGCTGTTATAGTTTTCTAGATCTCTACGTTCATACAGACAGACGGACATGGCTAGATCGATTCGGACAGTAATCCTGATTAAGAATATATATTCTGTGTTACATACTTTTATATATTCTATGTTGCATACTTTTACTCTACGAATAACGGGTATAAAGATGGTATCATATGTATAATAGTTGAGGCACTCCTAAAATGTATACAACACTAACAAATATCAAGTTCAGTTACGGTTTGAATAATCTTAGATCCGTTGATAATGGATTTTATGGATTCAAAATTCAATGAAGTAGTCATTATCTTTCGCCGACTTTCACAGTACTTAAGTCTACAGCAACATTATATAGTAGAGAGTAGTAAAATGAAATACCTTTGTAAGCTACAACAGCAATTTCTTTCTGAAAGCATAAAATATTAATTTTCTTTTCAAAGGGGTGTTCTTATTGGCCACTGCAGTATCAGGCCTATTCCGAGAGAAACTTTTCCAAAGTATAATCGAAGACCATGCCAATAAAAATTATATTGTATCGCCCCTGTGCGTCGAGATTGGTATGAGCATGATTCTTATGGGAGCGAAAGGAAAAACCGCCGATGAACTAAAGTCAGCTCTGAACCTTCCTGAGGATAAGAAGGAAGTGGCCAGAACATACGATAAGCTTCTTAGTAATTTCAAACATGGTAGAATGCTTTATCTGGTAAATCGGTTATATGTCAACGAACCGTATCGAATTAGTAAGGATTACAACAAGTTGGTGAGTAAATCCTTTAGGGCCGAGGCAGAGGCTATCAATCTTGCCGACGCAGCAAAGGCAGCCTGGAGTATCAGCAATTGGGTCCTTTATCAGACACTCGATCATGTAAAAGCTATAATTACACCAAGTAACGTGGCACCCGATGAAAGTGCGGTACTAGTTAACGCCGCTTTCATCAAAGGCTACTGGAAGACTGGGTTTAGAAGAACCCGTACGACACTGAGTAAATTCATTCTACCAAATTTCAAGACAGTTAATGTCCGGATGATGTCTCAAGTGGGTAAATTCAGGATGAGCGAATTTTTGTATGGCCAAGTCCTTGAACTGCCGTTCGACAACTCAAACCTTTCCATGATAATCGGTCTACCGGCGCATACTTTACATCTAAGGCTAATGGAAATGAAGATCAAAAAGTTTGCCGAGACCCTAAAAGAAATGGATGTACATATTCAGTTGCCAAAGTTTGGTATCGAATTTCGCACAGATCTCGTTGACATTCTTAAAAAGGTAAGTAGGTCCTTTTGAAAATATATTCTTTGCTAACACGTGTATTGTTTGACAGATGGGCATAAATGATCTCTTCACCAATTCCTCGGACCTCAGCGGTCTACTAGAGGGCACAGGTGTCAGAGTCAGCAAGGTCATACAAAAAGCCTTTATAGAGATCGACGAAGGCGGCGCCTCGACGGAAGCGGCGGAAGAGGTTTTCACTAGTAAGATTTGCCAAGTTTCTCATACGTTGTCTTATTTTCCTTTTCATCCTTTCCAGAAAAGAGAAAGGGAATGCATTCTTTCAATGCCAACCATCCGTTTGTCTTCTTAATTCGTGATACGAACACCGTATACTTCCGTGGACGTGTCGTTGAGATTAACGATACAATGAGTTTATAAATGTATATTATAAGCTTTTGTGGGACCATCAAAATAAATTTTTTATACGAGTATTCTTGGATATACAAACTACAAATTACAAAAAAAGAAAGGAAGTTAACTTCGGCAGGCCGAGGTTTGTATACCCTTGCAGTTATAATTACTAAATTTAATTCGAAATTCTTAAAAATACAAAAAATTATATTCCCAATAGTATAAGATAATATGTCAAAAAACACCGAAGCTATAATTTGTTTCATATTATTTCATATATTATATTTTATATAGTCGACCGATTTTGATAAAATTAAATTCGAAATTCAGAACTAATTAAAAAATGTTTTTTCCAAGCGTAGATAGTTAAGATATAATTATACCCGTTACGCATAGAGTAAAAAGGTATACTAGATTCGTCGGAAAGTATGTAACAAGCAGAAGGAAGCGTTTCCAACCCCATAAAGTATATATATTCTTGATCAGGATCACTAGCCGAGTCGATCTAGCCATGTCCGTCTGTCTATCCGTCCGGATGAACGCTGAGATCTCGGAAACTATAAGAGCTAGGCTATTGAGATTTGTCGTGCAGATTCCTGAGCTTCTTACGCAGCGCAAGTTTGTTTCAGCAATGTGCCAAGCCAACTCCAACGCCCACAAACCGCCCAAAACTGTGGCTCCTACAGTTTTGATGCTAGAATAAAAATTTTAACTGAAATGGATTGTTCTCATCAACACCTATCGATTGACCTAAAAAAGTTTGCCACGCCCACTTTAACGCCCAACCGGTAAAAAATTTTAACTGAAATGTATTGGTCTCGTCAACCACTCTAACGCCCATAACGCTTAAATCTGTCTACCGCCGGTAGATGGCGCATTTTAATCTCGCTTTGCTGCTTACATATCTCCATTTCCCTTTGGTCCCTTTGGCAACGGGTATCTGATAGCCGAGATACTAGAATATAGCGTTCTTTCTTGTTTTTAAAATTTTTTTTAATATACCTATGGGAGCTTTAATATATAGTTGTCCGATCCGGCTACCTGCAAAAGAAAGAAGACTTTTGGGAAAGTTTTAGCCCGAGAGCTTTAAAACTGAGAGACTAGTTTGCGTAGAAACGGACGGACAGACGGACATGGCTAGATCGACTGGTCTGGTGATGCTGATCAAGAATATACATATATGTATACTTAATGGGGTCGGGTATAAAAATGTACATTTAAAGATTATTAACTAAAAGAGCCGGATATATAAAAACCAATATATATAGTTGTGTACCCGTATCGTATCTGTTAAAAACTATGTAACAGGAAAAAGGAAATGTGTATTGATAAGGATCACTAGCAGAGTCGATCTAGCCACGTCCTTCTGTGTGTGCGTCCGTCTGTATGGAGGATAAGATCTCAGAAACTAAAAAAAATTGCGCTGGTTAAGAGGTGTAAGCATGAGGTGTCTTTCCACGCGTATTTTTAGCAAGAATGCAGTCATCAGACCATATTTCTTCAAAAATTTGCAAAAATTCTTATGTGAGATATAGGATTGGAAAGCGTTTTTACCCTTATCAAGGTACACTCAGAACCCAAATTATATATTCAAGAACTAAATTGACTTTCAAAAGTATAAGTCCATATTACAGTCCATCGACCAGAAAAATAATTTTATTTGAATCTATAAAGCTTTGAACAGTAATTTCTAATTTCTAGCCTGTTAACGACTGTGTATTTAGTGTCATTGCAGCTGTTAACGGAGTCAACAGGCCTCTAATGGTACAGAAATAACCATTTTTCGTAGCACTAACAAAAAAGAACGACATAGGCAACGGCCTCGACTATTAGATTCCTCTTATTCAGCTAAAGGGAGTGCGAGGGAGATGGAGTTGTGCATGCAGCAAATCAGCTGTTTCCGAGGTTGCGCACCACGCCATCACTTTACCGAGATATCACAGTCCATACGGACGATTTTTTAATATTTGTGGGCATTAGAGTGGCATCTTGCTGAAATAAATCTGAATGCCTAATCCCAGAATTCTAGCTTTTATAGTCTACAGACAGACGGACATGTCTATGGAGTTATGATGAAGAGTATGTGTATATACACTCATAAAATTATTATTATTATAAAATGTTCGACTATAATGTAAAATTTACAGGCAAACTTAAATTAAGCTATAGGTTAACACTCATAAAATTATATTTCTAAATAATAGAAAAATCGCCCTAAATATAGGAAAAATCGTCATAGGTAATATTTTTTAAGGTTAATTTTTTCTAAAATGCTAAATTTTTCTAATATATCATCATATGCTCTTAATATTTTCTCATATCTCGAACAAAATCGCCATTGCTGAAAACCAGCAAACATGTCCAAACACTATTTTTTTATAAAAGTTTCTTTTAATTTTAGGGCACTTGCTCTTGTTTTTAAGGCGCTTTACCTTTAAAACAAAATACACCATACGTTCAAGAAAAATGTTCTGTAATGCAAGGCAATTTACCATTAAAATAAGAAAGTAATTTCAAGAAATAGAGCTGTTGATTTTTAACACATTTATCTTATGTTAGGGGTATTTACCTTTGAAAACAGAAAAATCGCCCTAGGTTTAAGAAAATTCACTCTAAATTTCGAAAAAATCGCTTTTAGAAAATGTTGCCCTTATTTTGGGTCGCCATTGGCATCTGTTTTAGGCCGATTTCCTTGTTTTTAAATCAATTTTACAGTAGAATTTCTAGTTTAGTGCTGTTTATAGAGAGCACTTCCTTCTGCTACAAAATCTCCGACGATATCCGAACAGAAGTCCAAAGGAATCTATTTTAATAAAACAAATAAAATATCTTTATTTAATTTAATAATAATAGTTATAACATTCATGAGTTTGTGTTCAACATATTCGTGTCTGTGCGATAAGAATCAAATACGACTTGTGATCCTGTCACCTTCAATATAATTTATTTATTAATCCTAATGTGTTTATAAACATATAGCATCCTTAAGTATCGGATCTCCGCAGAGAAGAGAAAAACAAAAACTAACCTCGTTTACCTGCTTGGCTTGGGAGAAAAACTGAGAAAGAACATAAAGAGCGACCTGTCCCAAGTCTCTTCTTCAGTCTTTACTAAATTGCGATCGTGAGAAGAACGGCAAGCGGCCAAATAAACGCGGATTCTGTGCATTAAAGGTCCAAAGTGTTTTATAAAATTTGTATTTAATGTGAATTCATCAAATTTGCCACTATTACAAAAACATTTGCAGAAAATAAGTAGCATTTCATCCGGTTGTAATTGTTTTCCAAGTGCAATTTGTTGGTCAATTCAATTGTGGCTTGGTGTTGGCCAAGAATTTTCAGTCAGGAACCGGTTTCTGCGCTCCCACAAATCCAGTGATCAAAAGAGAGAAATTAAGAGAGTTTTAGAGTAGGACGTGGAAAAGAAAAACATAAACAAACCCATTAGCCGAATAATAACAAGTGTTTGAAGGGAGACATGGAAACACGTGCATCCCAGCTCGAATGATTTCAATATTTTGAATACAAGACCTATAGTTCCCAGTTAATCATGAGTCTGCCTCAGTTGATCGAAGATCTGCAGCGCCTTTCAGAGGATCAGGATAGTGCGGATGTGGTATTTATTTGCGGAAGAGATGAACGCATCTATGCCCACAGATTAATGCTAATGGCTCGGTAAGTGTTCTCTTGAAAAATATGTATTTAGTTACAAAGCAATTAATTATACAATTGGTAAGTATTATTATTTTTCGCTGTGGAGTAAGATGATTGCCATTCGATTTCCTTCTTGGGACCTTACAATGTTGCGTGCTGGCATCTTGCGCATTCCATTTGGTCACTCAATTAATTTGTGCTGCCTTTTCATTCACTCAATTTTATTTCAGTTGCAAGAGTTTCAAGACTGCGAAGAGGGGTGAAGTGTGTCGAATTCCCGGATGCACCGTTTCTCCTGCAGCCCCAGGAGCTTCAACTCCAACTACTATACGACTGCCCCACGTAAATCCGGAACTGTTTAGACAGTTTATATTGTACGTCTACACGGCAAAGGTAAGGAGTATGCTCAGAAACCTTAACTAAAAGAGGAAAATATTTTTATATTTTTGCATATTGTCTTTCAAGTTGGTTCTTCAGGACTCCCAAGTATTTCAAATGATGATGATGGCCCAGGATATGGGTGTGGTTGAGCTGCGCACGGCATGCGAAGACCACGTTATATCCACTTTATCCGTTGATAATGCCTGCACATTTTTAACTGCCGTAATGGACATACACGAAAAAGCAGGTAGGTGATCGTAATTGGGAAACCATGAAATTGAATTTTTATTTGAACCAAGAAAGAACGCAATAGTCGATGCCATCGACTATAAAATACCCGTTACTCAGTTAAGGGGAATGCGAGGGATATGGAGATATGCAAGCAGCAAAGCGACTGTTATCAAGTTTGCACACTTTATTTGCTTATAACTTTTTAATGAATGTTCTAAAGGGACAAAAGGGAAATGGACAAACTTTTTTTTGGGTCAATCGATAGGTATTGACGAGACAAATACATTTCAGTTAACATTTTTTCTAGCATGAAAATTGTGGGCGCCACAGGCTTAGGCGGTTTGTGTGCGTTAGTGTGGGCGCTTCGTACAAGGCTACGCAATCTAAATCTGCAATCCCAATTTTCTATCATTGATAGTTTCCGAGATATCCGTGTTCATATTTACGATTTTTTGAAGATTGTGGGCGTGGCACCCTGCCGAAACAAACGTGCGCTGCGCAAGAAGCTCTGGAATCTGCCTAATAGCCTAGCTCTTATAGTTTCCGAGATTTTAGCGTTCATCCGGACGGACAGGCGGACATGGCTAGATCAATTCAGATAGTAATCCTGATCCAGAATTTATATACTTTATGGGGTCGGAAACGCTTTCTTCTGCCTGTTACATACTTTCCGACGAATCTAGTATAAAAAGGATGGATATACAGAAGGACAGACGGACATGGCTAGATCGACTCGGCTAGTAATCCTGATCAAGAATCAATATACTTTATAGGGTTGGAAACGGTTTCATCCACCTGTTACATACTTTCTGACGAACCTAGTATTCCCTTTAACTATACGAGTAACGGGTATAAATTGTTTTTTGAGGGAAAATGATCATATACTG